ATAGAGTTAAAATGCAGAAAATTTCTGTGTAAGCAATGGTTGAAAATTGACACGAATGAAAGCGTTTTTCAATTAATAAGTTATTTCAAATATTACCACTTGACCATTTAGATATCTAATCTGTCATGGGTTCCACTGTTCATGTGTTTACACATGTGTTACACGTTGAATGCTCTCTTCCAAATTCATCCAAATCTCACATATGGAATTTTATTCACAAGCAAATACTCTATGTTTCAAGAGACCAATATTATCAACACTTAAGCACTAAACATCCAATTCTGAATCGTTTTGTCTGTTGAACTATTGCTGAATTTTTCTCATGAAGTCTGGGCAAAGAAATTACATTGAATACATTTTCTTATAACTTTTTAAAGTGGAGGCATTAATATTAAAACATTTTATATATTTTTAAGACTTCTGTTGGAAGAAAAACACCTGATTTGTTAATATATGTTATTTGAATTAATTAATATTCTTCAAAATTAGAGCTGTTTGCACACAAACATCAAAATGAAGAATTATTAAATGATGTTTCATGTAATCCTGATATAAGATTTAGAGATAGAAGTCTGTAAATATTTGGAGGAATATAAAAGGGGCATCTATCACTTTTAAATGCATATCTTAGACTTTATTTTTATTTAAGTTTTTTTATTTAGAAAAAGTAAAATATAAGCAGGAAAAGTAGAACATAGCTTTTACATAATTAGCTAAAAGAGACAAAGCTTTGGAATGTCTTTTAAATCTATTTTAAAAGCTCAGCTACTTTGATTTCTTTTCGGTTACTGACTCAAGAAAAGTTATTTCAACTGAATCGCATACATAACTCCTAGAGTGTAGACAGTTGCTATTATTTGTTCACTTCATCAAATGCTCTTTTAAATTCTTGCTACATCTGTATTACCAGGTCCTAGAGAAACCAAGGTGAAAGAGGCCCAGGAGAGGCCAAACACTCTTTGCTATTTCTAACAAAGGAAATGCCATTCTTGCCACTAACTCTTGGAATGATTTCCAAGTTCTCGAAAAATAATTTAACCTGTGTCAAGTAGCTGTCTTATCTGGAAAACTCAATAAACGAATGTAGAAGTTAGAAAGAGTAGGGGAAAGTTAGGTGTTATACTGAAATGGTTTATCCCAGGCAGGTTGAATTGAGACTCCAAATTAGCCAGCACACTTCCATACATCTGCTCACTTTTCTTTAAACTTGAGCTATATTATTGCAGAAAAGCATGATAATCCCCACTCTGATCTTGTATATCAAATGAAGGAGGTTGAAACATCATAGCACATGCACCTTTCTAGGTCAGTTAAATATTATGAGTGGATACATTTCCTTTGGGGATCAGCATTTTTACATTTAAGGACAGATTAAACAGGCAGAAAAAGTAGAGGAGAAATATATAAAATATTTGTATCCAATGACAAGGATTCCAATTTTACATTAAACTTTAGCTTAAAGAGGACGTGCCTATTAGATTATACTTCACTTAATAGTTGGATCCTTTAACATTTTGTGCAAATTATTTCTCGGTAGCCAAATCCTACTTCACTGTACCTGAATAGTGGTTCACATGTAAAAACCTCAGGCAAAGGCTCATGTAGTGCCAAAGTGAACAGTATCCTTTATTTATTTGTTTAAAAAGGTGAGGTCTTTGTACACTATTTTCTTAATTTGAAGCAGTTTTAATGTGGCAGTTATAAAAAATAAAATTTTAAATTAGATTACATAAGTTTTCAAGGAAATTATATTTCATAATTTTCCAGCTGTAGAATTATTTAATATGAATGTTTATTATATGTTGGTTCATGCATGAAATATTTCTTACAATAATTTTAAGGACATCTGCTAGTATTCTCAAGCAGAAGAATTGAGGTATTTTTAGGAGTGATCACTCTGCATTGCTTATCAATATTTTTCAAGAAAACCAAAAGTACAATGGAAACATTCTACAATTTAAACATTTTCTCATTTTCATTTTTTAATATGAAAGACAACTTATAAAAATTTTTATAAAGAAAAGGCTACAGTAAATTGCACTTGTTCATGCTGACTGGTATAAGAATGAATATTCAATTTGTCTAAAGGGTCCTGGGATGGCACAAATACAGGTTCATGCTCTGACTTTGCTTTCCCGGTCCCACAATTTGCTTTAGTGTTGGCTGGAAAGGGGATGAAAGGAGATAATATATGAAACATCTGCCATTTGCCAAGAACCTTGTTTAACATTTTACATATGGTTTCTCACTTATAAAAAGTAACATAAAATCAAAAAGAACAGCCAAAATAAATCCCTTATTTTTCTTCCTATCAAATCTAGATTTTTCTCATCTGTCTGAATAGAAATACAGTCTCTAGTAAGGAAGAAAAGCCTGATTTCTTTCTCTTTTCCCTGTTTGTAGTCACAATTTTTAAAGAGTCATGAAATAACGAAGATCCAGAGGGGGCTGGCAGCCCAAGAGAGAATGCTGCTTTTATTTACCTTATTCTCTCTGAAGGTTAGATGGTGATAGTTGAGAGAAACTGGACAAATAGCAGGTAAAGAAAATGGGCAAACGTTCAGAATAAAGAATAGTTTTCAGCTGATTTGAAATAACAGATTATTAATGACTGATTTAAAATGGTTAAAATGCACTGAAATGTAAATCTTTAAGTCCAAATACTGGTGGGATAAAGGTAATTTATTTAATCTCATTTAAGACTAACTAAATTTATAATCTCTTGGAGAAGCCAGGAGTGGTGGCTCACATGTGTAATCTCAGTGTTTTGGATGGTTGAGGCAGGAGGATAATTTTAGGCCTGGAGTTCAAGGCCAGCCTGGGTGACATAGTGAGACCTTCGTTTCTACAAATTTCTAAAAATCAGATGGACATGATGGTGCATGTCTGTAGTTCCAGCTACTCATGGGAGGCTGAGGTGGGAGGATTCCTTGCGCCCAAGAGTCTGAGGCTGCAGTGAGCTATGATCATGCCACTGCACCCAAGTCTGGGCAACAAAGGGAGACTCTATCCCTAGAAAAATAAAAAGTATAGGCCGGGTGCGGTGGCTCACGCCTGTAATCCCAGTACTTTGGGAGGCCGAGGTGGGTGGATCACGAGGTCAGGAGATTGAGACCATCCTGGCTAACACAGTGAAACTCCATCTCTACTAAAAATAGAAAAAATTAGGCAGGTATGGTGGAGGGCGCCTATAGTCCCAGCTACTCGGGAGGCTGAGGTCGGAGAATGGCATTAACCCAGGAGGCGGAGCTTGCAGTGAGCCGAGATTGCGCCATTGCTCTCCAGCCTGGGCGACAGAATGAGACTCCGTCTCAAAATAAATAAATATAAATAAATAAATAAAAATAAAATAAAAAGTACAAATTTTTTTTTGAAAGTGATTTCATTAACTCCCTTATATCATTTAATAACATTAAATTTGGCATGGCTTGTCATTATAGGTAGCTATATCTCAGCTCTGCTAAAAGTGATGAGATTTAGAAAGATAATCATTAAGATGAGAAACTGTACTGAATTGATAAAAGTATTTTTATAAATCCTTCAGTCGATACTATCCTAAATCTGTTTTGATTTAAAAGCCATCCATACATATTGTATAAATCAAATTTTCAGTCATATAATTGTAATATTCTCTATTTTTATCCCAATAAAGCATAGGTAACATGGGAAACAACATTTCCAATCAAGAAAGTTTTGTTTGCTGATGTGAATTAACCAGTAGTCTGAAAAATTTAAGTGCTTATAAACTACTTGAGAGCAAAAATAAAATAGTATTTATTGCTGTCTTTCTTGGCTTATCACAGCACTCACCTTAGGCTCATAAATGGCTATATAGTTGTCCTAAATGATAAACAATTTGAATCAAGATTACCACTGTGAATTAAAAGCTGGATTACAAGTAGATCTTGATTTATAGGAAATTTGTGTCCCCCTGAATAGGCTAAGCCCTGGCCTCGGTCACTGCTACCCACATTTTTCCTGTCTGCTGGCCAGTGACGGAGAAAACACACTAAACATTTTGATGTTTCACTATAAAAGTGCATGTCATTATGTGGCTGAAGTCTTTATAGTCTCCCACACCAAAGTCATGTTTGAAACACAATACATGAGCAATCCCGAGCAGAGTTTGTTATGAAGAAGGATACTGAGAATAAATAGATGAAATTCTAGACATTTCTAAAGAGGATCCAGCTATTTAATGGCCACTGAAGTCTTCAATGAATAGGTGTGAATATTTCAGTGTAGTCCAACCTGAACTGAAAAGCAGTTCTTACGTCCAAATTTAAATACCTCCTGTGCATATAAAAAAGGTCCACTTATTAGTCCAAACATTACTATGATTGGGATCCTGAAATAACATTCTCTTATTATTGGGTATATTATTCAGCAAAAAACCGTTGGGAAGGCTAGGCTAGAGACTGAGACTTGTGCTTGGAGATGACAAAGTTGAGACATCCTGGTATTTACCCCACAACAGGTCGGGATGGGCTGAAGATGGCTGAGTAAGTACATTTCTCTGTTAAAGTTAAAATAATAAACCATGGATGAAAGTCTGCAAAATTCTATTCACCAACTGAAAAGTTGTTAGTATTTGGATATTGAGGATCATCTGAACCACTTTCCTCATAGATTGGGTCCATTGTCTTAAAAACGCAAGTGCAGCTCCCACTGAGAGGGCTGCAGTGAGCTACGTGACCACACTGACACTTGAGAGCACAGTTTGGTCCATACAGGCCCGGCCTGCATTCTATGAGGGAGAAAATAAAAATAAAAGCAATTCAGATATGCTTTCAAAAACACACTGTGTTCTTACTATTACTTCTTGGCATTCAATAAGATAATTATACGTTTGTAAAGTATTCTTTTTTACCATGGGGTATCTTCCCATGCTAGAATGCTATGTGATAAAAGTAAGAACGCCGATGGAAAACAGGAGAAGGCTGGGAGTGTCAAGGAAATTAGTGGTAACACTGAAAAGAGAAGTCAGGACAGCTACTTACATTTTTAAGGTGCCTTCTCAGAATCAGAGTATTCAGTAGAGCTTTAGTGGTTGCATTGTGAAGGACACAGGGAAAGTTGGCTAGTTGTCTTGAGGTCAGAGAAAGGCAACACTCACGCTGAATGCCCAATACAGGAGACTTACCTTTAGGATGAAAACACAATTATTTGTACTTATGTTATTGAAAATAAAATGGCTTTAATTTCAACTGTTTCATTTCTTAAAATATGTCAGAAGGTCCATAGATCCCCTGATCTATGTCCTACAGGACTCTAACTATCTTTAAATTGAATTGCATTGTGCTTGCAACTGAAAGAGAAATGATGGAAGATTATAGAAAGTGTTAGCTTTATTAAAACAACCAAATGTTGACCAAAAAGGCCCAGCCTGGGTGTTTGCTCTTAGCCTAATTTCCATCAGAGAATTAACAAGTTCTATTTCTGAAGAATTACGAGGATAAGGAGAAAGCCCTGCCCAGCTCATGGAAACAGAAAATAGATTCATATTTCCCACTCGGTCAGGCAGGACTGGGAAGAAACTCAGTTTATCAATGTTCAAGGATCAGAGAAACTCAACTGTTCAATCCTAATAGTCACCTATCCTTGTGGAGTTTACAAAGTGTGTCTCTAATACATTATCTCTGTTGGTTCTAATACCTGTGAGGTGGGCAAGGCAGTGAGTTAAGCTCTCACATTCTACAGAGAAATAAACTGAGGTTTGGTATGGCTTAAAAGATCTCAATTACTACAACATATCTCTGATAAACAGCAGAGCTGGGTTTTAGAATTCCTACCTAGTGCTCTTTCCCCATTTTACACTACTATATGAGTGGATACAAGGTGTTAAGCATATGCAGAAGAAAGCCCTAATAAAAAAGTAAAAAGCAGGAAAGTGAGAATTTGGGAAATGTCAGTAAATATGAAGATATAGTCCCTGGGGCAAATTCTGAAATTTGGGGCAAATTTTGTTTAAAACTTCTTTATTGACTCACTATCCTTTGTGCTGGGTTAGAGATGAGCAGCTGGATGTAATTTTTTTATTCTTTTGCATTATGAACGTAGGTTAAGATGTGGCCTAGCTCTCTTGCCTTAATTAACTAATTAGATTAGAAATATAAAGTAAATAGAAACATAAACCAATTTTGCAATTAATTATTTTCACAAGGGTTCAACATCAGCAAACAGTAATTCAATCCCTTCCTAAATGAAGCAGAAACAGGTTCCTTTAGGAAGAAGCTTTGGAGGCAATGGAAATGCTGCTCTAAATCTTTAAACCATGAAACTTTGTGAAAAATTAAAAAAATCCTGTATCATTTTAAATGAAGTTCAACCCAGATACTTCTGCCCAGCGTGTGGGAGGATTATTTAGTTTGGTGGCAAGATTGAGTGTTCTTACTAGAAAAAGTTGTGAGTCAGGCTCTCTCCTGAGCACTCCAGAATCTGATTTTAATTTATAAAAATACCACATTTTCATGTTAATAATGATGTATATTTAAGACATCTGTCTGAATGTCTGCAAATGTTAATTTACCAATGGGGGAAAAATAATCCAATAAAAAGTTGTTATATTCTTTTATGAATTAATATTATGGCTGTTTAATAGCTCCTTTACCAGAGTTCAGGTTAAAATGAGGTCTTTTATCTTTATGGTGCCTGCATAGACACAGCTGTTCACACTTAATATCACAGATGAACTGTGCTTAATTGAAAATAAAAATGAAAATAAAAGACCTTGTAGGACATCTGTGTAGGCCATGACTTTATTTAGAAATAACCCTTCTTTTAGAAATGAAGCTTCAACCTTTCTCTTTTGCAGATGAGAAAAGTAAATTCTGAGATTAAACCCTCTATTTTGGGAAATATCTGTGGCAGGGTCAGTCCTTCAGGTCTATTGTGAATTATATAAAACTTTTCATCTGATAATCATCCATTAAATCTAGTAGCAAGTGATTAGTTCAAAATTACTCAATCTACTCTCTCTTCTTCTTAAGACAGTCCCTGAAGAATTAGAACTTTATATTTTAGGTCATTCTTTCTCTGAGTCAAAAGAAAAAGGAAATATACATTTCAATTCCCAAAGAGTAGCCTGAAGCTTAGGTCCAAAGAATACCATCTGGAGGGACCACACCTTAATTGCCTTAATTCTAGTGATTTCTATGAATCGCCTTTGTGATGGGGCATTTAACTGTGTCCCTTTAAATACTTACCATGTTACCATGTGTCCTCCGACAGCTATAGTGTTGTTTGAGCTGCCTGTGATGTAACAGTTACAAATCCTGCTCATCATACTAAGGGCAAAGTATCAAGCAATTCTGGGCAATGCTCTTTCCACTTCTAGTAGGAAAATGTCTACAGATATCTTATAACCATGGGTCAGCGGGGAGTCCTTAGGTGCTTTGGGTCTTACCAGCATCACATCTGACTCAGTTCTCCCAGGGGGGCAGAGGCATTTTTCAGTTTTTGGGTGGCAGAAGGTTTCTCCTTCACAGTCACAAAGTTGATGGCAATCATCTCCAAACATGCCAGGTGAACACTGACCAAAAAAGGAGAAATGCTGAAAAATTAACACCTTGCACTTTCATTAATGCATCTTAATTAAAATTAGATATAAAATTTCCTCAAGATTGAGTTTCAAATAGTAAAGTGGGATGATACTGGAATTTGCTGGTAAAAAGAAGAGAGAAACGTTTTGGAACGTCAGAATGGAGGTCCATTCTATAACTGATTTGACTTGCAAGTCTTAAAGTTGATTTACTTTAACACTAGTATATATCTTTAGAATGCAAATAAAATTTTTGAAGGCAGGAGCTTTAGGAAGGGAACCAAGTCTACAAGCCTATTGTTTTACCTTTAATATTTCCCCTTAAAGTGTTTTTATTATTCATTTCTCTAGAAGACAATAAACTCCATGTTTTCCACTATATTTCCAGAATTTAACACAGGGCCTGCTACTTGTCATGTGGTAGTATACCAGAGTCAGGTTAGAATTTGTTATCTTATTGCTACCACAGATACATAATGGGTGACATTTTATTGAATCACTAAATAATACAAGAATAATGAAGGATGTACAAAAAGATTTGTGAGTCAGTATCTCTCCTGAGTACTCCAGAATCTGATTTTAATTTATAACCAATGACTTCTTCTGATGTGCAGCCAGAAAAATATTGATCTTCTCCAGTCTTGGAGGTAAAATCTCCAAGAGGTTTAAGTCCTCCGTATTGGACTTACTAAGAGACAATTCTGTATTACAGTTGATTGGCCATCTAAGGAAATGTTTCAAAGATTAAATTTTAGACTTTAAAACCTAACTTCCTTGTAAGATATTTACCTACCGTATATGCATCATATTCTTTCACACTCTTTCTTCCTTCTTCTCTTCCTCCTTCCTTGGTCTCAGACCCATGTTTGTCATTTACTCCCAGGATTCAAATATAAAAAACTATATGATATCACCTTCCACAGATACCCTCTTATTTATTTACATAATTTAATTTAAAAATCATTCTCACTAAATTTAGCCTGGATTTGAACACATTGTTTCTTTATGTCTTATTTATGATTGTGCCACTGCAGCCAGAAAAATATTGATATTTTTCTTTATAGTGACATCTGGGAACGTAGTATGAGACTAATATACAGATCCTTTTTAAAGGCCACAGACAATAACTTTGACTACCATTATCATCATACTATAATTATAATAGTCATGATTGTTGTAACTATATGCACAAGACTGTACATAATATAGGCCAAAACAGGACTTTGTGTTGTTTACTGAGTTTGTGGCTTTTAGGGCTTTATAATATTTTATTTCAAACTCAGTAGCCCAAATTCTCACCTTTACATCTTTATCTCCACTCATGGCTATGATTACTTTCTAGTGGTAAATGCCTAATTCACATCTTTAAATATTTTCATAAATTCCTTGTATCTCTTTCAATGCCATTGAACCCAATACATAGGTCACATTTGTTAAAAGCATTTAATGAAATATTTATTCTCATTCAGAGGTAGAATCCTTGTCCATCAAAAACAATCATTTTTAGTGGTGTTTTGAAATATCTCACAACTTTATATAAAGGAAACTAAAATTTTGACCAATCAGCCACAAAATCAGAAGGACTCATTATATTGGCCATTGAGTGAATTCCTACCACTTTAATGTGCAAGTTGAATGGTTAAGTAATCGTTGCGTATTTTCAGTTTCATTACACGTTTGTGACCAGATGAGAAGATCTCACAGTTACACAGAATTCTCACATTTATTTCCTTAAAAATGCTCTGGCAATACCTTTTTCACATCGGCTGCTGTGGACACCTGCTGGGCAAATGCACTGTTCCCTTGCTGCATCACAACTAGCTCCATTTTTTGCAGTCATAGATGTGAGCATAATTCAAGCCATAAAATCCAGGAGGGCACACTAGGAAATGGAAATGTCAAAATGCTATTACTTTAAAAGTAAATAAAAGGAAAATTAAAATTTTATTTACTTTAAAAGTAAATAAAAGGAAAACTAGAATATGTTCAATTCATTTGTTTCCCAATACCAAATAAAGAGATGAGAGAATTGGAAAGAAAGAAAAAATTATACAGAGAAGCATATTGACGATAATTTGGTCATACAAATAAGTGAATATACAGGTGCCAGTCTCTATAACTAGTCTCGAAAAATGAATGAGGAAATTGAAATAGCTTTAAGTAGATCATGCTTATGTCTTATGATGTGCACATAAACATTTGGTCAAAGCCTTTCCTAAAATCCTTCAATACTGGCTGGGCGCGGTGGCTCACGCCTGTAATCCCAGGACTTTGGGAGGCCAAGGCGGGTGGTTCACGGGGTCAGGAGTTTGAGACTAGCCTGACCAACATGGTGAAACCCCGTCTCTACCAAAAATATAAAAATTAGCCAGGCATGGTGATGCATGTCTGTAATCCCTACTCAGGAGGCTGAGGCATGAGAATCGCTTGAACCTGAGAGGTAGAGGTTGCAGTGAGCCGAGTTTGTGCCACTCCAGCCTAGGTGATGGGTGACAGAGTGAGACTCCATCTCAAAAAAACAAATAAATAAAAAATAAAAAAAATCCTTCAATACCTTAAAGACATAAAGAAGCAATGTGTTCAAATCCAGGCTAAATTTAGTGAGAATGATTTTTAAGTTAAATTATTTAAATAAATAAGAGTATCTGTGGAAGGTGATATCATATAGTTTTTGGTATTTGAAGCCTTGGGAGTAAATGATGGGTGTGGGAGAGATGATCTTTCTCCCATTTCTTTTGATATTTGATCATTTTGATATTTGAAGTCCTGATATTTTGATATTTGATCATTTTGATATTTGAAGCCCTGGGAGTAAATGATGGGTATGAGAGATGGGTGTGAGAGAAAGGAAGGAGGAAGAGAAGAAGGAAGAAAGAGGGCAAAAGAATATGATGCATATATGGTAGGTAAATATCTTACAAGGAAGTTAGGTGTTAAAAGTATAAAATTTAGTCTTTGAAACATTTCCTTAGGTGGCCAATCAAGTACAATACAGAATTGTCTCTTAGTAAGTCCAATATGGAGGACTTAAAACGTCTTGGAGGTTTTATCTCCAAGACTGGAGAATATCAATATTCTTCTGGCTGCACATCAGAAGAAGTCATTGGTTTGTATTTAGAAATCATGTAGTCTAAGCAAATACCCTTATTTGAAAGCTAAAATTGTCATCTGCCTGGGGAGATGCTCATTCTGAAGAGGTGTGGGAGAGTTTGACTGTGGACAAAGGATTTCCATTTCTTTTCTTGAATTTTCTCTGGGGCTATGCTTACCACTCACCCATGGAATACAATTTCCTCACCTTTTATTTATTACCTCCTTTTGCCTTTGTTTTTCTCTCTTCTCGCTTTCTATCTCTGATCCCCCTCTGCCCTCTTAACAGATACGTAGAGTTGAATTTGACTAGGCTTGATGTGGATGATACTTCTCCAGTATGCATGAAGTTACCCACGACAGGTTTATCATTAGGAAGCACTGACATTCAAGGAGCAGAAAAAAGAAGTAAAACTGAAAGAAGATAAAGGAATGAATTGTATACTATATATTCTTTCATTTACTGTCCTCATACAATGCTTAAAATTAAGAGAGATCCGTGCATAGTTTTCTTCTGTTTGTTCCTATTAATCAATTTTTATCGAGAATACTTAGCAATATCAGATTTCCTTTATCTCCCTTACTTTATATATAAAACTGAGATACGCCGTGGCTCACACCTGTAATCCCAGCACTTTGGGAGGCCGAGGCAGGCGGATCACCTGAGGCCGGGAGTTTGAGACCAGCCCAACAAACATGGAGAAACCGCATCCCTACTAAAAACACAAAATTAGCCGGGCGTGGGGGCGCCTGTCTGTAATCCCAGCTACTCGGGAGGCTGAGGCAGGAGAATCACTTGAACCTGGGCAGGGGCAGGAGCCGAGATCGCGCCATTGCACTTCAGCCTGGGCAACAAGAGCAAAACTCCATCTCAAAACAACAACAACAACAACAACAAACGAGATAATAAAGGTTGCCACACTTGATGTCTCCATTTTGCTAAACAATACTATCATTCTTCCAAGTTCCCTCCCTGGCTTGGAATTTTGGAGCCATCTTTGATTCCGCCATTTTCCTTATCTTTATCTCCAATACTTTGGGATGCCGAGACAGGTGGATGGACTGAGGTCAGGAGTTCGAGACCAGCCTGGCCCATATCATGGAGAAACCGCATCCCTACTAAAAACACAAAATTAGCCGGGCGTGGGGGCGCCTGTCTGTAATCCCAGCTACTCGGGAGGCTGAGGCAGGAGAATCGCTTGAACCCAGGAGGCAGAGGTTGCAGTGAGCTGAGATCATGCCATTGCACTCCAGCCTGGGCAACAAAAACAAAACTCTATCTCAAAAAAAAAAAAAAAAAAAAATTAGCTAACCCAAGCAAGATAAAATTGATAAAATGCAAATATATGACAAAGATTTTTTAAGGTGGAGGGAATGGCCATCAAATGAGATAAATATAAAAATTATAATATGAATAAATTTAAAAAACTGAACGAAATGAAAAATGTTATAGAAAATAACTTACCAAAATTATCCCAATTTGAGGCAGAAAATCTAGACAAGGCAATTAAGTTAGAAAAACAATATAGAAAATAGTAAAATAGCCCCTGCATTAAAAGAACAAACAAACAAAAACAACAAAACCCAGCAGTTTCAGGTTCACAGAAAAATTTTATAAAGCTTTACCAATCAGATCATCACCTTACTACTTACACTGTTACAGAGCATTATAAGAAAAGAAAATCTCAACTACATTGAGCTGAGTGCATATAACATCAATTTCAAAATCTGACAAAAGTTACATTAAAAACTAAAGCTCAGTTTCACTCATGAATATCAATGTCAAAATCATAAAAAAAAGTAAGTATACAGGATCTAACAGCACATTACAGAGTATAAATCACAGCAAAGTAGTATTTATTCCTAGATGTTAAGTCATTCATTATAAGAAAGTTCATTAATACAACACATGATATTTATCAGCCTAAAGAGAGAATCTTATCACTAATTGTGTAGGTAAAGAAAAGACATTTGCAAGAGAGTCACTATAAATTTGGTATACAAATATTGAATAAATTAGAAAATTAATAGCTATATATTAATATGAATATTAAAAGCTAACATCTTTTTTTTTTTTTTTTGAGACAGGGTCTTGCTCTGTCACCCAGGCTGACATGCAGTGGCATACCTTACTGCAGCCTTGACTTCCTGTACTCAAGCGATCCTACCACCTCAGACTCCCAAGTAGCCAGGAGAACAGGCATGTGCCACCATGCCTGGCTATTTTTTTTAAAAAAAGGGTTTGTAGACATGGGGTCTCCCTATGTTGCCCAGGCTTGCCTCAAACTCTTGGGCTCAAGTGATTTTCCCACTTTAGCCTTCCAAGGTGCTGGGATTACAGGCATGAGCCACTGGCCCAGCCCAATATCTTATTTAATAGGAAACAAAATGTTTAAACAAATGCAAAAATGCACCATGTTTGTTCTTGGAGAGTTAATATAAATATATCAGTTCTCCCTGAGAGAAAGTAGGCACAACATAATCTTTGGATGATGCTGTGAGAACAGACATTTCATATATTGCTTATGACAATGCAAAACGATACAACTCCACAGCGGAGAAGAACTTCTTGTACGTCACAGAATTACATTTTAATTTACCCAAAGATGCAGAACTCACTGATATTGCTAGAGAAGGAGAATTGGCAAAAATATTAAACAATATATGCACACAAAAAATTTTGTATATTGATACAAAATTTATAATACCAAAAGCTTAGAAACAACCTAAATATCTGTTATTAGGAGACTGCTTGAATAAATTATGCTGCATTCACAGTGAAGCACCATTCAGCTATGAAAGGGAGTGAAAAATAGCTTCACGTACTATTATAGAGCAATCTCTTGGATACATGTTTATGTTCCATAATATCCTTGAAATTATAAAACTATAAAGATAACATCGTATTAGTTACTGCCAGAAGTGGATTTGGGGATGAAATGGGGGTGGGTGCAAATATATAATGAAGAGACAGTATGAAGTAGTTTTTGTGGAAATAGAACTATTCTATATCTTGATTTTGGTGGTAATTACACAAATCTATACAACTGCATAGAACTACACACACACACACACACACACAGATATGCACATACAGATGAATGTAGGTAAAAACTATATTAGTTCTGTAGTCTAGTTAACAGTAATGTACCAATATCAATTTCTTGGTTTTAATATTGTACCATAGTTATATAATATACCACTGTTCGAAGAAGATGGGTGACAGATACAAGGGACTCCTACTTTTGTAACTTCCTGTGAGTCTATAATTATTTCAAAATAAAGAGCATTTAACAAGGCAAAGTGGAAAATTGCATGCTATCAAATTATAAGAAAGGGAGATAGGAATACATATGTCTATTTTCTTACATTAAAAAATTGAATAGTATGCCATACAAACTTTTTTTTAAAAGGCCATTTATATTTGGGAGCAGGGAATAGAGTGGAAACAGCAAGAAAGATGCTAGACTTCTCTGATTATAGCATTTTTCAGATATTTAAATATTTTATGTTACTGTAAATAATAATTAAAATCAATGAAATGAACCTAACTATGATTGAATTGGTGGCAAAACTATGTAGCAAAGAACTGTTTCAAATAACTCCAAAACACAGTAATTGGACAACATGTGTCTGGTGGAAAGTGTAAGAAAAAAACTACAAAAAATTTAAATATTTAAAATATGTATTAATGATTTAAATAGTAAATTTAATTAAATTATTAAACTGATCAACTTAAAATTAATTAAACCAAAATTACTTTTTAAATTATTTAAAATAGTTTTATATTTAATTGAGATAGTTAATATTTAAACTAATTTTCAGAATTATACTGATGTTAGTAGTGTTGCTATTTTGAGATTTGACTGTACTATGGAATAAAGCAAATGAGAAATTATATTGATGTTGTTCAGAATCAAGAATTTTAAAATGGGAGAAAGAAAATGCATATGTAAGAACAAAGAGAGTATGTAAAATTGCTGTGGTCCACAGTTTGAACTGCATTTGTATGAACTCATTATATAGTTGATATGTAATAAAAAGGCATTTCATAGCTCTGTTCAGAGAAAGTCTTAGAAAAAAATTACTATCCCAGTTGCAGTGAGCACAGCCAAATTTTGGTTTCTATACACCGTTTCCAACTAAAAGAAACCAGAGCACTTTGGAAGAAGTGGATTATTTCAGATTTGGAAATGCATATGTAGAATTAAGCATAGAACAAGCACCTAGTTATCTCAGATAACAAGGAATGGATCATATTACTGGGGTTGTGCAATTGGAACTCAGGAGCCAATTGTAAGAGGCTCCCTCTGTCCAATGATAGAAAAGTGTGACATCAGTAAGTATACTAACTGTATGAATTTAAGTGTATCAACATGTTTGACCTCCATGATTTCATAATAGTGTTGCCAAAATGTAGTTTTTGTTCATTTTGGAAGGATACTAGTAAATCAACTATCTTGTAAATTGATAAATAAGTGGAAAGTAGAAAGCATTTATCTTGCCTTTTTCATGTGAACCATGCCTCAAAATAACCAAATATGTGATCAGAGAAAACTTCTCTACATAGACCTATTCTAACTAACAAGTAAAGAAAAATTTATGGACTTAGAATATCAATCTTCTGTAAGCTTTAATGAATTCATGGATCAGGGCAATAATGATCATTGACTGCTAGTATAACAAAAAGATAGGCAAGCCTGACATGTGCCTTATTGTGGAAGACACATCACCCATGAAGTGTTCTCATCAATATATCAAGCCTGAATCTGATCAAGACTTCATCTACCCAGGGAAGGCAGAAGACAGAGAAACGTGTGATTATAATACCAAAATACACAAAGGGCAAAATGAGAAACTTGACAACAGCAGCAACCTAATTTTTTCAACATGTATCTTACAAGGGGGAGAAAGAAAAAGAAGGAACTTCTAATTGTTAAAAGATATTAAAGAAACTTATATCAAGGACTGAATTTTAGAGGTAGTATTTGAATCTTGAGTCAATAAATGTATTAAAAAATCATAATGCTTGAAGACTATTTGACTATAAAAAGAAACTAGTATTTTTGGTATGAAAATTGTATCATAGTTACATTTAAAAAACAAATTATTATCTTTTAAAGATATATACTATGAGAATGTATGGATAAAATGAAACGATGCTTAGGATTTGTTTCAAAATAATTAGGAGAGAGGAACAGAACTAGCCATGAGTTTCTAATTATTGTGACTGGGTGACAGGTACATTAGGATTCATACATTATTCTCTAGATTTGCAGAGGATTAAAATCTTCATTAAAAAGAAAATCCTATACTTTTATTAAAGACATATTTTCATTGGTTCTGTTTAGATTAAACAATAAGATTTTTAAAATTAAAAGTTTTTTAAATGATTAGATATGGTGAAGTATTGTGGGTATAGTTTTAAAAGAATACTACTAATACTTATCAATATTATGACCATGATCTGCTTCTAAATAAAACCATAGAGGTACAGAGTGAGGGATTGGGTGAAAGTATAGATGACATAAGATTAATCATAAATTGATAATTGTTGAAGGTGAATGACAGATCTATGGAGATTCATTATACCATTATATCATTCTCTTAACTCTTGTATGTGTTTGAAATGTTACATAATAAAAAGTTTAAATGATAGAATCAATGGTAAAAATATCCCACATACTAAATGCCAGAAAATTACTCAATTTACAATCAAAAAGAGCATGGACATGATAGTTCTGTCTGTTTTTAAAAAGTTGATGTTTTAATCTCAAATCACAAAACTGGTAAGGGCCATCTCCCATGAATTAGGGAGGATATCCATCTTGTCAAAATCCCATGAAAAATGGCCTTGAATCTTAGATTTGGAAGGACTGTCAGGTATTATTCAGCTCAGTACCTTCATATTCAGATGGGATAATTAAATCACAATGAGGATGTGAACTGCCCAAATGCAGACCACATGGTGTTAGCAGAGCCAGGGTTAGGATTCATGTTTATCCATGCCCATTGCAATGTGGTTTCTTCTGCACCATGTTGCTGAATTTCTTTCATGACAGTTGAATTAGTAGTGACAGATGGTAGATAATCACACTCATTGTCACCAGGTCTAAAGAATCACACCACCCGTAGTTGCAACCATCTAGGTAAACGTACACTGTGAATTTTTTTCTACTCTGAGTGCCTCAAGTTTAGGCCTCCAGCACAAAGTTCTCACCATACTTTGCCAGAACCTTTGCTCTGTAATCTGCCAAAATACAGTGTCTCCTACAATAATGTGCTCTAAATAAAGCACATGCTTTCCAGTGTTGTACAAAATAATAAATTGTGGTTCAGGAAAACAAACATTAGAACAACTATCAATATTCATTTTATCCATTTTTATCACTTTAAACTTTTATCTACATTTTGTAATATACTTATTAGTCAAGAAGTGCAAGAATGTCATTTATAAATAAAAATGCATATACAGTGGTATAGCAGGTCCCCCCATCCATGGAGAATACATTCCAAGACTCCCAGTGGATGTCTGAAAGCTCAGATAGTATTGAACCCTATATACACTATGTTTTCCACTATACATACATAGCAATAATAAAGTTTAATTCATAAATTAGGCACAATAAGGCATTCACAATAACTAATAAAATAGAAAATTACATCAATATACTTAATTAGAGTTTTGCCAATCTTACAAAAATCTTATTGTACTGTACCACAGGTAAACCACAGGCAAAAGGGGACCACTGTACTAATCAAATTTTTCCTGATGAAATAAATTTTGGAAACTTTTAGAAAGCCCTCTTCCCTCCTTGTAGCTGTGCCTACTCTTACTCAGGTGATCTGGCTTCTCCCAGAGCCCTGTATCCTCCACCTTACCTGCCTCAAAGCCTCAGGGGTGTTGGAGATTCTTCAGCTTCATGCCTAGAAACTCAAGACTTAGTAGATTCAGTGTCTACAAAGCCTTTGGGTTTAAAAAGTGGCTGGTAGGGGAGTTAAATTTAGGTCTCAGAGGAGCTCTTTCACATTAATACTACTTCAGTTACTTAA